TTTATCAGTTTTAAATCAGTAGAACTTAAAGAGTTTTAATGGACAACCACATACGCATAACTTTATTTGTTGCATGAGAAATCTTAAAAGTGGAAAGATGTGSTTTCAAGYATGTAATTGYGGTAAGAACAAGTGGACAGAAGGAAAATCATTAGTATTAAGAATATCGAAATGATTCAAGGACAGATGTGACATGTATTTTAAAGGAAATTTATATCTACATAGCTGGAGTGCTAGCAATAAATTACATAAAATATTCATACAATTGTTTTTAATACTGACTATTCTGTATATACATAGAAGTAATCATAGTTCCAGTTCCCACTGTGATGAAGGCACATAACATCTCTAGCTAGAAGTGAAAGTTCCCATTGACTTTGATGTTTTTCAAGACTGATTTCAGTACCTGAAGACTTAAAGATGAAGGACAATATCTGGTGCCCCATTATCTGGTGCCCCCTAATGCAATTTAAATAAACTCTGTCTCTGTAGAAGAAGCAAATTGGAGTGACAAAATGTAGTTTGTTATAGACAGAGAACCAACAAAGAAAATGAAATAATCATAACAAGACACTAGTAAATTTGGGGGTAGACATACATTTTCATTATATTTATTGTGGTGGTAATTTCACAGGGATTTAAATCTGTTCACCAAGAAAATTGGACCTCAAAGATGTCAAAATATAATAGATGAGTAGAGTTCATTATTTACCAAGGAGACCTCGACACAATATTTTAAAAGGCAATCAAGCTGATTAGAATGGAATATCAAAATTCTCAATTTAAAATAAGATCGGAAAGAAGAATAGAATGACTATAAAATAGAGGGTCCAAGTGGAAACATGTAGATAATAGAGTTAAAGCTACTTTTATGACAATGGCATTATGTGTAAATGGATTAAGCACACCAATTAAAAGGCAGAGGTTACAAATTGGGTGTAAAGGAAAACTTCAGTATTGATTAAAAGCATAAATTCGAAACATGTAGTGAGACAGAGGTTACAATGAAAGGAACACAAAAACTAGTCAAAAGAAAACTTATGTGAGTATAGTAATATCAAATAAAAGAGAATTCATAACAAGGTGTTTTTAAACGGGTTAGTAAGTTAATTTATAAAATAAAGGAATTAAATAATTAAGGGTACATCAGGCTGGGTAGTGCACACCTATAACCCCAGTTTCTTGGGAGGTTGAGGTGGGAGGATCAGAAATTAAGTTTAGCCTGAGCAACTTAAGGAGAATCTGTCTCCAAAACAATAAAGATTGGCATACAACTCAGTTATATCAGTTATAGAGCATTTGCTTACCATGTAAAAGGCACTGTGTTCAATTCCCCAGYACAAGAACATTAGTAAGAGTATCGAATATTTGTACAACTCTCTTGACTAAGTGGATTTAATTGATAATCACAATTATATTTCACATTGCTGAATACACATTGTTTT